CGCCACAAGGAGAGAAAGATGAACGGACAAGAGAGGTTGCAAAGGATGGCGAGGCGTAGAAGGACCGCATTGCCCTAGCTTGTTCAAAGTGTAATTTCAAGTTTTTCTCTGGATTCAACCATCCTGAGCGGAACGCAGCATTGAGTTTCTCGGCGATCTCCCTTTCCCTCACAATACCCTTCACCATCTGGCCACTTTTTGACTTTTGATAGTCGGCCCACAACTCAATAAGTCTAGCCTCCAGGTCATCAGAGAATATTTGGCGAGGCATTGTCCGAAACGGAAGGCACAACCAGCAACCAGCAATGAAAGCAAACAGAAGCAAAAAAAGCAAACACGACGACAGATCACAAATTGACACAATGCAAGGAAAACGAAGTTTGTCAGTAGAACGCTGGGTATATCCTGCTTTCTACACCCCTCCTGGTCTTGCTGAAAACGTACACGATGCGTTTCACATTTCGCGCCAAAAGTGCTCCATCTCCTAGGGAACATAACCGGAAACGTGACATGTGTTATCAAATGTATGCCGTCTATATATGGGTACTGTACTCTACGTTACTACTCTACTTTATCACACTCTTTACACGGCAGCACGGAATGTAGGTTAAGATAACAGTTATATTCACTGAGCACAAAGAGGACTAAAGTAGAGGACTCGGGGGCAATTATGAGGAGAAGACAACTCGGAGGACTACCAACTGTAAGAACTACTGGGAGAACGACTAGGAGAACGACTAGGATAACCCACTAGGAGAACTACTCGGAGAATCAACACTGCGCAAGCGCAGCCTTCTGAATATAAGGAAAGCTATGGAGGGAAAAAAGAGGTGCATGCAGTAAGTGGCAATACGCCAATAGGGTGAGCGGGAAAAGGGGTGCATGCAGTAAGTGAGACAGGGTGATCGTGAGCGGGAAAAGGGGTACGGTGCATGCAGTAAGGGAGGCAAAGGGTCAGCAGGGCAAAGGTCAGCGGGGAGAGCATGAATGGGTGTGTGTACAGGGATGTGCAGATGTGTATGTATAAGTGTACGGAAGTGTGTGCATACGGGAATGTGTACGGGTCTAAAGGGCTCATACAACATTACCCCCCTCTCCGGGTGAGAAAACTCGTGTCCCCACGAGAAGAAAATAATATTATAAATAAACAGGGAACGGGTGTTACGCATGCACAAAACAACCGCACATACACAATTCACACACTCATGTACAAACTCACACGCTACGCATAATCACCACCCACGTGCACAGCACACGATACACATGCACAACACGTGAAACACAAAGGAACATAAGGAGAAAAAAAAGAAAAGAAAAAGTAGCAGAACAAATGCGTGGAAGTCAGTTCATAATTGAAGCGTGTTGAAGCGGAAAAGCCTGAAGAAGGTCAAGCCGCTAGCCGAGGCTGCTGCCAGATGAGAACTGGGTAGGCAACATCCTGTGGAACACACAGCTCGAGACCAACACGAAACACAACCAGAACAGAAAGCAACCACAAAAATACAACGCCCTCGGATATATGCAATAGGGAGGCTGAGGACGAACACTCAGCTGAAGGAGGAATACCAAAGGGGTCAAGGACGAGAGAGAAATAGGGAAGTGATAATTTCTCTCACTTTTGAAGGGCTAGATTGAACAGCGAGGACGAACACTCAGCTGGAGGTGGAAAATCAAAGGGATATAGTGTAAAAACGATTATTGGAAGGGTCAATGATGGGAACTTTGGAAACCTCAAAGTCTGAATGCACAAAAATAAAAACACCGTTGGAAATGTACGGGGTCCGTTGGTGTGAAATATTTACATAGAGTGAAAGAGGGATCTGTGTCACTCTCGTAAAAATCACTACTTCATGGAGAAAAGCAAGACAGGGGAGGGAGTGCCAAGGATTCAAGACATCTCGACACAGCTGGAAAGTAAGAAAGCGGAAGGGAATGTCAAGGATTCAAAACATCTCGACATAGACAGAAAACAGGAAAGGGGAAGGGAGGGAGTGTCAAGGATTCAAAACATCTTGACATAGACAGAAATTAGGAAGTGGGGGAGGGAGTGCCAAGGATTGAAAACATCTTGACACAGCAAACGAGTCTTTTATATTATTATGGTCCACTCTTTTGGACATAAAACTGTTAGCGGCTCCACATAAAGCTTATTACTTTATGGATGCAAAGGAACGAGCGCTGCCCACAAGGTACAGCAAAAGAGCTGGCAGAAAGGCAACCGGTTTATGGAGACAATCAAAATATTTACATGGAATATCAAGGTGGTCGTGTATGAAGAACGAAGATCACCACACAGGGAATGTTGAGGAAGGAGGTGAGAAACTTCACATTCAAACTCAAACATGTCTTCCTGTGTGTTCCTTCACACGAATCAAGCACCAGGCATAAATACAAACCTTGACTGGATTGAAAAGAAAGGCAGCATCTTGTTTTTGGTATAGCTGTACCTTGGTAATTGCAAGAGTACATAACCCCCCAGAGTGTGCAACGCCTGATCCAGCTCTGTGTAGGGTCTTGGTCGAGCGGAATCGGATCTTTGCTTCAGGTTTTTACCGTACCGTTTCTATGGTTGTAGCCAATGAGCGACGTTCCCGCGGTGGCCTTGATGAGCCGATAAAGCCCGTGGTCAATGGATACGGAAAAATACGGTAGCAATAAAGCCCGTCGTCAATGGCACCCCGTACTCTGTCAGCCTAGCTCTGCAGGGGTCTGTGGCAGTTTTTCGTTGTCAGCTCAGTTCGCACCTCACATTCGACTGTGAACATGCTCTGGTACCTGGAAACAGCCTGTCCGAAAACGGCAACATGAAAAGTGTCTACACATCGTGGTCAGTTTTCAACTCAAGTTCTTGTTGTCGTGAGTGGAGATGAAATTTTACGATAGTTGTGAATAAGCGAAAGAGCACAAAAGAGCTGAAATAAGTGGCAAACATCGCGATCAGTTTTCCACTTTCTGTTCTACATGTAGCGGTACTAAAAAAAGGAGTTGACGAGTTGCCGAACTTTTCTGATAATTTTGAGGAAGCGAAAGATCATGGACCAAGGATCATCCCATCCTGATGATGAGAAGCGGACGGACCTGAAACTCAAAAGCTGAACTTTTCTGATAATTTTGAGGAAGCGAAAGATCATGGACCAAGGATCATCCCATCCTGATGATGAGAAGCGGACGGACCTGAAACTCAAAAGCTGAATCCACCACGTCCCCGACCACCACCCCTATACGTGTCTTGCTTTTATACCAGAAAAGCGAAAGACAAAACCTGAAACACCATCACAGAGGTCTGGCAGGACTTTTCGCCTTCATCAAGGCCTCGTGCGTACGGCCGCGGGCGCAGCTTAGCTACGCGCCTTGGCCTGCGCCCTTGGCCGTACGCACTCGGCCTTGATTCAGCCGTAAAGTCCTGCCAGACCTCTATGATTGTCTACGTCATAATACCGTACACATCTGAGGGGAACCCGGGGAGTCGCGGGTACTCTTGGATCAAAAACAATGGTGCCCTGCCTCGAGACCGGCCTTGCGCTGGTGTGAAGTGTACGCATGACATCAGAAGATCCGATTCCGCTCGACCAAGACCCTACACAGAGCTGGATCAGGCGTTGCACACTCTGGGGGGTTATGTACTCTTGGTAATTGTATTCAGAACGCAGTTGCGTCGATCCCCAAAATGCGTAGATGTACATGTACATGTACCTGGGATAAGTAGGATATTGACCCGCGTACTCGGGTGTTACCGTACCCTCATATCATCCCTCCTGCTACGCAGTCGGGATGATATTCGGGAGGTAACAACCTAGTAGGGAGGTTTAGTCCCACGTAATCCGTGGGTACTTTACGTGGGTGTACCACGTGATACTCAGTGACCCACGTACAGACGTTTTCTGATTCACGACATACCGTGTATGGAGGCTCACCCACGTTCCGCCAGAACGTGGGTGAAAATCAGAATGGAGCGCATTGTGCGAGCTGTGAGGGTGCTCAGCTGAAGAAGTTTCCGAAGCACGAAATCAAAATATTGGATGAGCTTCTTAGGCCGGGGTAGCTTCGTCTTTGACCAGGTTTTGGCCTTTCGCTTCATGCTTTTGTTTGTTCCGTGTGACTAAACACAACATTGCAACGTGGGTGCCCTTCATCCACTTTACGTGGATCACCCACGTACGCGTTTCCGTTACGTGGGAACTAAACCTCCCTAATATCAAGAGTACATAACCGTACTCTCGGTTAATACATATCGACGCGCGCTCCCTGCAATCTGTATTCCTGGTGGGCTGGCTGCTTGTTCTTTGGCTCTGCTTTACCTACTACCAAGAGTACATAACCCCCCAGAGTGTGCAACGCCGATCCAGCTCTGTGTAGGGTCTTGGTCGAGCGGAATCGGATCTTCTGATGTCATGCGTACACTTCACACCAGCGCAAGGCCGGTCTCGAGGCAGGGCACCATTGTTTTTGATCCAAGAGTACCCGCGACTCCCCGGGTTCCCCTCAGATGTGTACGGTATTATGACGCAAAGATCCGATTCCGCTCGACCAAGACCCTATGCAGAGCTGGATCAGGCGTTGCACACTCTGGGGGGTTATGTACTCTTGCTACTACTGTACTCACTGCATTCGACCTCGCGGAATACCACGGCATGCCATTTCCACCCCCCCCCCCCCCCAGAGGCCCTCGGCACCGGAATGTCCACGGCGCGGTACGGCAGGAGCCACAGAATGAACTCGCGCCAAAACTGCCCCTCACGTAAGCAAATCACCATGGGTACTCACGGCACGGCACTCACGGTACCGTAGTGGGAATCGGCCCTAAGTTACTGTGGGATTGCACAGGGTGTATGGCTGTATGCAGCATGTAACATGTTGGTGCAGAGGTGCACACTCTGCAGATCTGGTTCGGTTCATGGCAGGAGTACATAACCCGGGGGTTATGTACTCTTGTTCATGGTGATGTGTGGCACTTTATCCGTACGGCAGAGGGTATAGTTCGGGAATGCAGTTTGTGCTCTTGGAACGACAAAAAAAGCGAGCATAAAACCTACCACAACTCTCTCTTGCTGGGTACACTGCCGCTAGTAGTTTGACAAGATCCTCCTCTTGGATATATTCAGTAGAAGATTTCATACAGTAGAGGCAAAACGGATATAGATTCATTCATTCCCTCCTCCTGTCGGGGCCAGCACAGACAGTGCAGGGGACTTGTACAAATTCTCGTCTACTCTGCATCACGATACACGCCTCGTCAACCAACATGGTAAGCAAATGTCCCTTTAATCTTCTATTTAACCGTCTACCTAGCCATTAATGTTTGATTTGGACAAGGATCGGTTGTGCGCATGTTCGACCCATTTACTGACATGCACATATTGAATTTCATGACAAGAAGGGGGGGGGGGTCGACAGATGCATGACCCTCATTTGATTTTTCATAATATGAGCTACATGTATATGCGTGCTGTATTATTATTATCATTATTATTATTATTACTATTCCCGTAGCTATGCAGAAGACTGGCGCTAGCCGGGGTCCACACAGCTTTAATTTGGTATTTGTGTGTTTGTGTGTTTGTTTGTTTGTGTCACGCCTGGCGCTATCCGTATCTGACGGCAAAAAAGCATAGGATGTTGTAAATTTTTCAATTCTCCTATTATTTTTTTCAGGCATATCCTGGGATTCGAACCCGCACTATCGCCCTACATGCATTCCCCCATACACTTCGCATTCATACCCATTCTTCCAAGTTGCTTCACGTTATTATCTTGCGTTTGAAAGCCCTATTTGAATATTGCGGGCAGCTGTATGTGGCCAGCTGTGTTTGATGGTACGGTACGGGAGACCGTATCGTATTACCCTCGATCGTACCTGTCCCGTACCTATCCCCTACCGTACCGTGCCATCAAATTATTTGCAAAGACGGCTGGCCACAATGCATATTCAAATAGGGCTTTCAAATGCAAGATCACAATGTGAAACAACTTGGAAGAATTAGTATGAACCGAAGTTTCAGAGGGCTGCTCTTCATATGCTCATGATAGCACAGGTCAAACCTTTTGTTATTTTTTGCGCTTATCGTCCTTTTTTTCAATCTCCTGCACTTGCTGGCTTGTTTTGCTGGTGTCCCCTTTCTTTGGTTCAATGTCTTGCCATGTGTGTGTGAGACACTGCAGTGGCACTCATTTTATTGCATAGGACGCATGGTCTTCTATATTGTGGTTACAGGCGAACCTTTCGTCGGATTTTGCGAACAGATCCGTCACATGTATGCCAACAGCAGATAGATGGCATCTTTGGCTTCATGTTTGCTGTTTTTGAAACGGGTATATCCAAGGAGTAAATGCTGAAAATTTTATAAGAATCTGTTTACCCATTGCTGAGATATGTGTGCTTGCGTGGGACGGTGCCGGAAAGGTGTAGCGCCACCTTGTAGTAGACACGTGTCATGTACATGTATATGCAGTCAGTACAATCATGTACACGTACCGCGTATATAATCTTTATTAGAGAGGTTAAGTTACACGTTTTTTGCCCTTTTTCAAAACGCGGTGCAAATCTCACGTTACGTGTAATTTTTAGAGGTTAAGTTACACGTGCGACGTGACGTGAAATTTTGCCTGGCAGGATTCGGGTTTAGTTCTCACAAATATCAAATCTTCCAACAAACTCGATAAAATTCCGGAAACTCACACAAATTCGGCCGGAATAACCAAGCGAAACTTCCCAAAACTCACGTCATGAACTTACGTGCGGGACAGTCAACTCACGTAAAACACGTCAAATTTTACGTGAGTTTTTTCACTTTTTGACGTAAAAGTTCACGGACGTAAGACTTTTACGTGAAACTTAACCTCTCTAATAGGGAGGTTTCGCTCTACGGAATTACGTATGAAAATAACGTATGAACTGCACGGAATTTTCATACGTAAAAATCAGAGCTGTTGGGTTTCGCTCTACGTGATTTCTCCACGACTGCTAAACATGCGTTGTTGCTTTGGAGACGCGTTGGCTGCATGCGCCCACCGTATGCACCATGAACCGAAACCGCGTTTTCCATGATATTATGCACGTGGTGTACGGTGTGGGTACCTTGTGTTTCGCGCGGCTTGAATGTTGCCATGGACAAATGCGGAAAATGCGAAAAAATATTTCAAAAAGTCCTACGGAGGACCCAACGTAGGAAAGAGCTTTCCTACGGAAATCCGTAGAGAGATTTACGTATGAAAGTTGCCCTCGCTCCCCGGCGCGTACGACATACGGATTTTCATACGTAATTGCGTAGAGCGAAACCTCCCTATTTTCAGGATTGGGGGGAGGTACAGTGTATTGTATTTCTATTTCTGTTGTCGTTGCTCTTTTTATTTTTATTTTTTCATTTCCCAATTCCCAAGTCCATTCAGCACGTGCGAATTTGTGGGCGGTTTACCACCGCTGACATTGACGCGTAAGTGCATAATAATAATAATAATAATTGGGGGGAGGGGGGGGGGAGGGGGGATCTCCTATTTGTGTATTTACAATGAATATTGAAATTGGGAAAAGAGAAAGTGCGCCAAGAAGCTAAAGTAAGCTCGGAAAAATATTGCTAATGTTTGACCCAGGTCTTCACTTCGCACTACGACCCCCTCTCCCCTTTTCAGATTGTGTTGCTAAGTTTACTTCTTGCATGATGGTGGAGACAGCTTTTAAACTGATGAGAGTCTTCTGAATGGTGGAATCGGGTTGGAGCGTGCTTGATACATTCGACACTACATTGTAGAGTGACTGTAGGGAGGTTCCGGAGTACGATTTTTCGTGCCAAAATCCGTAGAGGCGCTACGGATTTTTTATACGTCGTTTTCGAGCAGTGAAATGTTCCGAAGTACGAAACTTACGTGTTTGCCGTCATTGCCTAGGTTACGATGGAAAACACGTCACATTCCCGCGCCATGCCTTTTTATTTTGAAAATTTGTGCCGAAATCAAAACTTCCCGCGGAAAATCTATGTTTCTCGTACCAAATTTGTACGCGAAAAATCTTTCTGCACCCGATGACGCAAAATCTCCATACGAAACATGGTTCGTATGAAAGCCAGTCCACACGGATTCTCCGTGCCGAAAAATCGTATGGAGCACGCCTGGAAAAAATCCGTAGCGCCCATACGGATTTTGGCATGGAAAATCGTACCCCGGAACCTCTCTATTGCCACCGCTTCGCTCCGCACTCGACGGTCCACACTCGCACTTCCCACAGCAGCAAGATGTTCCTTCTCGTTCGTATGATCCTTCCGAGCTAGCCCTTGGCGGATTATGCCGGCATAATATTTGGCATAATCTTGGGATTTCGTCAAAAAATTATGCTCCGGCATAATATACGGATTCCAACGTGTAAGGTCGGCATAATCTTTCGGTTTAGACAAAAATTATGCTTAGGGCATGGCCGTGTGTGTATGTGTGCTTTCTCAATCCTCTATGTACAGCGTGAATACATAGTGGAACCGAGCATAATTCAGCATAATTCAGCATATTTGTTTGCATAACTGTGGCATAATCAAAAGCATATTTTGACGATTGGCCGAGCATAGTCCGCCAATGGCTATTCCGAGCAATCAGAGGGAACATCTTGCTGTTGTGCGAAGAGTGCATGTAGTCAGCCGCAGAGTGTAACCATGGTGTAGTAAATAATAATTTGCAGAGAATTTTCAATGGGCTTTCGGCACCAATTTATGTTGCGGTGTTGCGACTAGACTCTCTTCAAGTTCCACAACATAACTTCATAGGACTGGGATTAGTTCTAATTCATTACTACATGATTTCCTCTAGTCTCTGATCATCAAGAAGCGAGGTAAAACCATAAAACAATCAAAACTAAACTAAAGGGCTAATGCTACGTGGACGATAACGTCACACAAGCCTACACGTGATATTGTGTACAACTTCGTGATGTAATCACGACAAGTGTTGATGCTTATCAATTTGTAGCTACATGTTGTTTTTTTGATCATTGAGTAGCCCTTTGGCCCTGGGTCGATAACCTGTCTTTGCACATACTAGTACTAATAGTACACTGTACTGTTCTTTCAATAAAATGGTTGGTTGGTTGTGTTTATTTGAATTCGCAAACCGAACGGACTGAATATGTCCAATGACAAGGAAGCGAATGAAGTCCAAGTAACCCAGAAATGGGGACACAGATGAAAAGAAAATATGGGAACAGAAGGCTCTCAGCAAAGGAAGAAGAGAAAAGAAGGAAAGAAAAAGAATAAAGGAGAAAAAGAAGAAAAAGAAGAAAAATCGTGGTCACACACATGAACCCCTCTATTGACATACAGTAAAACCTGTAACTAACGACCACCCCTTGGGGCCAGAAAAAGCGTTCTTTTGTGGCAAGTGGTCCTTAGTTAGAGGTTTGCACTGCACAACCATAATAACAAATAATAGAGAGGTTCCGGGGTACGATTTTCCGTGCCAAAATCCGTATGGGCGCTACGGATTTTTTCCAGGCCTGCTCCATACGATTTTTCGGCACGAGAATCCGTGTAGACTGGCTTTCATACGAACCATGCTTCGTATGGAGATTTTGCGTCATCGGGTGCAGAAAGATTTTTCGCGTACAAATTTGGTACGAGAAACATCGATTTTTCGCGGGAAGTTTTGATTTCGGTACAAATTAAAAAAAAAAGGCATAGCGCGGGAAAGTGACGTGTTCGCGATCGTAACCTAGGCAATGACGGCAAACACATAAGTTCCGTACCCCGGAACTTTTCACTGCTCGAAAACGACGTATAAAAAATCCGTAGAGCCTCCACGGATTTTGGCACGAAAAATCGTACTCCGGAACCTCCCTAATGAATGTGGGACCGGCCGTGCCTGGCAAAGTGGTCTGTAGTACCGGTATAGTCGCTAGTCACGGTGGTCTTTAGTTACAGGTTTTACTGCAATTGTCTTTGGGGAGTTTGGGTCATTTTCATAATGATAATAATATACTGGTAGTAAAGGAAAAGTCCTCCACCAAACCGACGGTATTTTGGGTGTTGGGTACGAGTACCGTTGGATCTAGCACGTGGACGGTAAAATGCCATGTCTACCATGTCTACACACACAAAAAACGGTACAGGCTGACCGTCGAAAATAGCGTGAACGGTAAAATGCTAACCATGTAAATGCCTGATTCACCGGAACGAAGAGTCAATTCAGGAGTGAATGAACCGTCCGGGACGGACGCCGGCGCGCCGTCGTTACTCGTTAAAAAGAAATAAGAATTTGGTGCCATCCGGTTCGCGATACCCAGCAGCGGAGGCTGTGTCGTGTAGATCACGGACAGAGCGCATGATTTGTAGCAGCTCGCACGCGCCGGGTCGGGCTTGTGTAGGTCGAGTGTACGAGCGTACAGCAAAGAAAAAAAAAGTAGGCAAAAGCCTAAAGGCACGCGCAGCTGAGTTCGAAGGTCTTACATCGTTAGTTCGTCACCGTTGAATCATGCAACTCTCTCGAGGTGAATCAGCTCGAAAATAATGCCAACCTTCCTGTTTAGCAGGTAGCGCTTCTTGTCACTGCCTGCACCGCCGCAATGCGAAGGACTCTAGTGGTGGTAGCGGATTGAGATAAGCATAGCTGGCCGCTTGCTGTCCGTACCGTATGACAGGACCTTTCCGACAGCAAGGAGAATGCGATGCACACAGCGCTCGGCGTCGACATTTCGCAGCGCAAGGGGCGATGAACTTCTGCCTGCTCATGTTTGGGACAGGCGAGTGAGGTTCTTTCCGGCCAACTGCAGCTGTGCGCTCCGGTAAGGCATGACGTTCAGAAATCAGGCAAATAAAATAGCCTCTTGCTGTCCTTTCACCAAAATCTCAACTCCGGTGAAAAAAAAAATTAATTTTTTTCAATTATGGAAAACTAGTCAGTCCATCGGATATCGAACAAAGCACATTGGTATTCCACTAACTCGCAGACATCGCGTTGTTACAAACACAATGCATTTCGCTAGCATCATCATCTCTTACACCGTGGTCGCTCATCTGGTTTGTCTATCTGTGGCCTTTCACAGCTGGGGACGACGCTACAAACACCTGAGCTGCTACTTTCCTTGCTTCTGGTGTTGTCCGTCGTGGACACAAGTAACGCGGCAGCGTGCACTAAAGGCCAGTACCTAAGCAATGCTACCCACACCTGTGTCCGTAAGTTCTGACTGAGTGTAGCGTGTATTGCTGAATGCAACTTTACTTTTTTCTGCTTTTAAAACTTCGAAAACACTTCTGGTTGTGCGAGTGTTGTACAGTTGACTCCACTTATAACACGCTCGCATTTTGCGAATTTCGTGATATAGCGAACAGTTTTCCATGTCCCAGTTTGAGCCTACAGTGTATGTCCATATTCTGTTATAGCGAACTAATTCTCCTGCACAATGGTGTTCGTTGTATCAGGAGTCGCCTGTCCGTACTCCGCGTCCTACAGCCACCGGATCTGCTAAAACTGGAATGTTCATGGATCCAGGGCGCAAAGCTGACTCGCTCCATCTTCGTTTCATTGAACAGCACTGTGCAAGTTGTGCAGCAATGATCTGACCTCTAACCCAGCTTTCAGGCTCGACTTTCAAAGCGCAATTATTTTCTTCTCTTGTAGAATATTCCGTGGGAAGAACATGCTGGGACGTAGCTGGTCCCCTCTGTTTTTTTTGGGGGGGGGGGGGGGGTAGGGTGCACAGGCACATCATTTATTATGTGTAGGATTGCTGGTACATGTCATTCAGGATCAGAATGTGCATCCTGAACTTAGGTTGAAATTTGTAGGGGAGTGCACGTGCCGTCCGTGCCCCATTCGGACTATGTGCCAGAACACGGGTGTGAAAAGCTATGAAAATCATAAGTTGCGGACAGCTACCCTGGCTCCATGTTGTAGAAGACCAACCAGAAGACCACTGCAGTTCAAACATCAAAATATTAGTCCCATTCCCTTTTTTTATCCCAGCATACCTTAGCTCGGATTAATGATTATGTTGTAGACTGTCCGTACTAAACAACAGTGAGATAATACCGAGGAGATGCGTACACTTCAGGATCTTGAACAACATCTCGAAAATTTTCACTAGTGAACTTTCAAGTGCCCTCCTTCTCAGTATTATCGCATTCTTGTCTCCGAGGAAACAGTTTACTTAACACCCCAACCCCATGAGTAAATTGTACCACCTTAAAATACCTTCCGATGCCCTTGCAAGCTGATGACTTGTTTCAACAGAGGGGGTCTCTGTCTGATTTTGCAATTTTACTACTCCACTGGTCGCTAAACACGGGCACCCTACATAGAAAAGGAATCCCGAGTTGCACACCCTAGATAGACTTATTATACTATTGATGGCAGGTTGAAACTTGACCCGGCTCCAACTCCAACAGGGTTGAAAACTCTCATGTAACACACAGCCCAAGTACTTGCCACACCTGTTTAGTAAACCGGATTTTTTTCTCTCGAAAAAATAGAGTCCAAATCAGTACATTTGATTGATTCACGGGGTACCTGGGGCAAAAAGTGGTACGGTCAATACCGTAGTGGCCGCAGCGCTTGATCTTAGCAGATATTCGGACTCTGCGCATGCTGACATTTGTTGTACGTATTTCAAATCGTAGATTAGCAATGAATAAAATGACTTGTGCACTCAGCATAGAATGAAGTTGAAGACACCACGGCAGCTGTACTTATGGTTGATAAATACGGTGGTAAAGACACGCCTGGCAATATGGCTGTGTGTGTCTGTGCACTCATAACCGTGAATAAATCAATTATTTAAACAATCGACGAGGAGACAATAGTCGTAAAATGGCAATAAATAAGATAAATTGTGCACTCATAACAACAGCAAAAATGAAGAAAGTCAAGTTCCATAACGTTTTCTTGTGACTGTCATCAGTGGAACGCCGTCACATAAAAATGTAATAACTAGAACACACACTTATATACATGTAGCTAATATGGTTTCAGGTAGAAACATAGCAGAACCGAGGAGAAGCAAGAGACTAGCAGAGGCACGACTGAGACAAGTGGAGAACACAAGGCAAGGAGACGCAGGAGGAAGCACAGGCACGGCACAGAACGAATCAAGGAGAGGGAAGCGGTGTCGCGAGGAGATGGAGACTGATGACGACGAATACGAGTGCGATGGGATGGACGGCGGCATTGGAATGGAGGTGGAGGATGAGAGTAGTGATGAGGAGGAGTTTGATGTTGACAAGAGGAAGTCTGCAGTGTACAAGCATTTGGTGTCCAGTCCAGAATGTCGTAAGGTGTTTGACGATTCCTGGTTTAGTGTTATTCGTTGCGCACGTTTCTTCAAGCAATTGCAGGTGTTGGAAGCTGTGTATATTCGCACTCGTGACCCTGTGCTATGTAAACAGAAAGAAAACGTTGTATCACTCACACTCTTCAAGTAATATACACGCACCATTACATTCATTCACACAGTATCACATTCATCTGCCACTACCTTTCTCACATACACTATATTCACACATTGCAAAGGTGCAAACTTCGCTTTTTGTACTTGTTAGCTGCTGTATTTCTACCTGAAACCATATTAGCTACATGTATATAAGTGTGTGTTCTAGTTATTACATTTTTATGTGACGGCGTTCCACTGATGACAGTCACAAGAAAACGTTATGGAACTTGACTTTCTTCATTTTTGCTGTTGTTATGAGTGCACAATTTATCTTATTTATTGCCATTTTAAATCAATTATTGAAATGAAAAGAAAAGCAACACTGTCTCACAGCACCTACACACACATAACGCTTGCGGAGCACAGTGCTCAGACATTCCGTCTATCACGAGAGTTTTTTCCAGCTAGCTGGCCTCTGCGTACACCGCAGACACACCCACACACAACAGAAAGATACAGGTCACAGTAGTAGTGTGGTCTTTGTTCGCTCACGGAGGAAGATGGAAGAGCTTAGCGTAGTGTATATATACATGAGCAAGAAGAAGGGCATGCCACCTCACACATATACATGTACACGTATGTACCAGACCAACATGATGCAAAAAGTGAACCACTGTGGTGAATGGGGCTGCCGGATAATTAACCAGCCCGAAGCTGGCGGAAAAAACCTCAGAACCCCGGCGGAGGCACAACCCTGAGGAAAAACCGGTTAGCATAACCCCATAAGATAAATGAACAAAACGAGCCTGCAGGACCTATCCAGAAGTGAGAGTAAAGGGGATTGCGGGTGGGAAACTACAACGAAAAGAGAAAGACCACGATGGAGAGAAAAGTTTGAGAACACTGACAAAAAAGCAGCTGACGCAATCCTGGTGCCGAAACTATGGTGAAAATGCTGGCAAAAATACATTTTTCGTTTCATTCGCTACGCTCAGCCAACGAAAAATAACACATCTCCGTATTTCTCCAGTATTTAAATAACCGACGAGGAGTCGGTAGTTTTGAAATAGTTCTCGTCAGGTGTTGAATGTAGAATTTTGTCTTGTGGTGGAATTTTGATGAGATCTGAACTGACTGTGTTTGGCAAAATTGGTGGGTTTAACGAACCAGCTCTTCAATTCTGCATTGAGTAAGTGTGCACGTTTCAAGAGAGAATGTAGCTAGACCGCCACTGAATGTGTTCTGAATATGCACTGTGTTGTGTTTAGCTCTCAAAACCATGTGCCCAGGGACAGATGGAGCAATGTACACCTGGATGGCTCTTGCCGGCTTGCCGACTCATCCGCACGTGGAAGAGCCCAACCGCGCGAAGAAGACCGATCTGACTCAAGGCCAGCAGATGTGCAGGCGTCGAGGGTACGACGTCATCGATTTCGGCCACTTCACCGCAGTAAATCTTGGCGTGCGTGGCTGCATGGAAGCATTGCTCAAGGAAATGATGGGAAACGGATACAGCAACCCTATTGGCGTGTGGACCAGTTTTGTGTACAATGGAAAGCATGTCATTTACAGGCACAGCCAGAATGACGAGAAAGATGTAAAATTTGATACGAATGGAACAAGCCATCATGACGTCATCTGTGCAGGTAGGCTATTGCTCTTTATCAGTAATACCATAGGAAAAAACCGAATGCAATGAATGCAAGCTAGCAAGAAGTAGACAGGGTGGGGAATACGATAAGGACAGGGCAGGAGGAATGACAGCAGAGAGGCGCTGTGCAGCCCTAGACCTGCGGACACTAGGGGGGGGGGGGGGGGGGGGGCGTTCGTTCTCGTCTCCAGGTTTGCCTCATCATCCGCTCTACTCTACTGTGCCAAGTGGACAAAAAACAAATGCAACCTAGGTTTGACCCACTCAATATTTTATTTGTCAATGTTTTTATTAGTAGCATGCACGGGTAGTCGGGTACCAGTGCTACCCGTGAGGACCTCAGATAGACGGGTACAGTAAAAATAAAAATAAAAATAAAAAATTTCACGGTTCGCGTGAGACTCGGCTGGAAGCCGAGTTTTCCGCATCCGCCGTGGGAACGCCACCACCCTCTAGGATCAAAGGCGCAGATGCAGCGCCTAAACGGTGGGAGGTGAGTAGATCAGACCCACCACCAAGTGGTCAAAGACCGAAATCCCATTAGCTGCATCCATGTTACCCTCGTGCCAGGCCACGAGTTCCCAATTAACTGTGGGTCGCAGCACGGCTGGAAAAATTCCTTCCGCTTCCAAGCAGGACTTGAACCTGGTACCCTCTGTTTCTCAATCATGGTCTTAGACCATCCCACTATGCCTGCCTGCCAGTACAGTGCCTGTACAGTATGATATCAATAGTATTGTACCCGAAAACCCGAAGTCACAGATGATGTCACGTACAGTGCACGTGCACACAGTCATGTAATACTCCGTATATTTACCCAGTGTATAAGGGCAGGGGTGCATTGTGGTGTTACAATGGGAAATTATGCGATCGGGTTCCCGTGCACGCGTGCTACCCGTGGAAAACTAACCGAACCCGATACCCGAAGAAAATGCTACCCGACTCAGCCCTAATTTTTATGAATGGACTGTAGTTGAGTTCCAGTAAACAGTGATGTGAAGCGTACCGCTACATAGCCAAGTCAATATTTCCCTTTCTTTACTCGTTGTGCAAACTCCAGCTGGATTCAAACATATCTCATTCCTTGGTGCTGACCGCTTTAATGCGCTTCCCGAATCCCTTCGAACTAATCATAACCCCAATTCATTTCGCCAGGAACACATACCGGTACACACATGCTGAGCACCCAGTCAGAAGAGGGTGTGTTGGGACTTGCTACATGGTGTACTCTACTGGCAGAAAATTCTAGGGGTGTCAACGAGTAGCAGGGTACCCGTGCTACCCGTAATTTGATGAGGTTGGAGGGTAGCAATTTGCTCCTTAGAACCCGATCGGGTAGCTGGAGTATGGTGTTTTTGCAGCGGTGCATGTAAACAGCATGGCTATGTGCTACTGTACACTTTACACTTTACACTTTCTGAGCAGCACATGTGCATACTCACAGTACAAACTATGTCACAAAAAATACCCGACAGGGTACCCGTGCTACCCGGATAAAAATACCCGACAGGGTACCCGTGCTACCCGGATAAAAATACCCGAACACGTTACCCGTGCTACCTGGATAAAAAATGCCCGACAGGGTACCCGTGCTACCCGGATAAAAATACCCGACAGGGTACCCGTGCTACCCGGATAAAAATACCCGACAGGGTACCCGTGCTACCCGGATAAAAATACCCGAACACGTTACCCGTGCTACCCGGATAAAAATACCCGAACACGTTACCCGTGCTACCTGGATAAAAAATACCCGACAGGGTACCCGTGCTACCCGGATAAAAATACCCGAACATGTTACCCGTGCTACCCGGATAAAAATACCCGAACACGTTACCCGTGCTACCTGGATAAAAAATACCCGACAGGGTACCCACGCTACCCGGATAAAAATACCCGAACATGTTACCCGATCAAACCCCAACCCGTTGAAGCCCTAGAAAATTCAGTCGGTCAACAATTTCGTCCAACTCCAGAGAAAGGGAGTTCGTCCGGTTGAAAGTTTAATCCATGGACCATAAGATTACATTGGAAGGCTGGACAAATCGACATTAGTCCGGCTTTTAATTTAGTCCAAACGCCCCTCGGATGAAAACGACGAAATTAAATCCTAGACGTATATTTCTGCTTATACAGTATTAAAACTTACCCCCTACCCGCCTCTGTACTTGCCCTTGTCTTGCAGCCCGATGGCTTCACGCTAAAGACTCGATGTACGCCGCGGCAACACCATCATCGAGGCATATCGTTACGGAGCCTTTCGCCGAGGAAGCATGTCTGCAGTACGGACTTCGCCTCATCAGCATGGCCTGGCTGGAAGTACATGGCGATGCACTGGTAGACCGCTGGCTAAATACACTAGCCCTGGAGCACAAACCCACGCACCATCCCTACCAGGTCAAATCCGTCGAGATAGACGGAGAGTTGGTTCGCAAAACCGTAAAGTTTACTACAGAGGGTCTGTTGTATGATGATGCCGAAAGCAATCAGCGAGCCCAAATCCTCTGTGTCAGTAAGTGAGATGAAGATTTTTTTTTTTTTTTTTTTTTTTTTTTTAGTGACTGCTCCAACAACGGCTTGCAATTCCCAATCATGCTTTTGTACCTGCCAACAGCTTTCATATTTAAAAAACCCCAGATTGAAATGCTGTATTACAGGAGCCGTCCGTGAATATCGAACCTTTTCCACCGAACGAATTGTTATAGTTTAGACCCAACCCCTCCCTCCCTCCCCTCAGAGCGTAAAAAATGTTGACATACATGTAGAACAAAAGTTGAAAGTGTGTCATTGCTCCAACTGCAATGTACATGCATCAATGTTTTCTGAAACGAAATTGGTCAACCCCTCCCACCCCATAAAGTTGGACCAACGTCGCCGACCCGACCGCAACCTCCGGCGTGGCCATCTGCTCTAGTAATTTTTCCCGCGCGGTTCTGCCCGCCTTTCCATCAAAAAATGCAGCTCTTGCAGTAGGAATGCTCTGCGAGGCGATAATAATTTTAATATAGCTATGAATAGGATGAAGGCCGCAGACGTCACACGCCTACGTTACTTGTTCGACATGCCCGTGTATTTTATAACAATACTATTATTGAAACCCAGAATCGATTTTCTCGTTCCAATCATCAGTGGGGAGAAATACGGAACCAATGGCACTGTAGTGCACTGCCATTGCACACACGCATCCAGCATGCATCAGTAGATTGGCGAACAACCCTTGAACAAGAGCATGCCCAGTATGATCATGCTACTGCTGTGGAAGTAGATATATTACTACTAGGATGCACAGTACACAATCATGAGCAGGTCCAGCCGCATTCGTCTCGCCACGTGCAGTCTATGCAGGATGTCAGGGTCGGAGGCGTGCTTGTTGAGGGCGACAGCCATGTACTCTGGGCTCTGGGCCGGATTTCAAACAGCGCAACCTTAACTGCTTTACCTCCTTGGACTGGCAGGTCCTCTGAGGCGTAGTTGTTCAAATGCTCCGCACTCCACTTCCTAAAACCGTAGCAACTAGCAAGTAATTTTGTCTTAGCACTGAGGATTTCAGTATTATTCTCGTTCAGGTTTAATGAATTGCTAGCTACCTTGCCGTTGAGGTTTCGTTCGGATGCGGAAATCCTGAGTCTAGCACAAAGCACAGTGTTTGTGTTTCCTTTTACAAGCGAAGGCTTCACACTTTGCCTTTCCCGGTGTTGTGGTGTGGCCATGCCACTGTCTGTAACGAGCCATTTGTGTGTGCGTGTGTGTGTGCGTGCGTGTGCGTGCGTGTGCGTGCGTGTTTCTTTGGCATATGTGTGTGTGTGTCCCCGCTCACAGGAGATTACCTTTTCCAGCCCGGGCATGATTTCGAGTTCAACTGCAACGGCGTAAGGTACAACGTCTCCACCCACAAGCGCCAGCAGGGTTCCGCCTCGTACTACTGCCAAACCGCGGGCATGTCGGTGATCACCTTCCAGCAGTTGGCCAAGCTGAAGCATGACAACTGCTTCAACGACGACGTTCTCGGCACCCTGAAGGCCGGCACTGCAGAGACCTTCTGGTTGTTCGGCTACACCGTGCCGCTCCAGGATTTGACCTACACTCGTCGTGTGCTGGAAGGTGTGGACACCGTGAACTACGCAAAGCCAGGTGACCTCCACGCAACAGTCTGTACTATCCGCAACTGTAAGTCATAATAGCAGCATTTGCATTTAATTTTATATTTCAATTGAGTGTTCTATTTATTTCCGAAATTGGGTTGTCTTTTTGCTTTGACTCTTACTTCATGGTGTTGTGAATAAATCCATTCTCAAGTAGTAGTACAGTCAGACCTCGCTTATCCGGTCCTCGTTTATCCGGATCCCTCGCCATCCGGAAGAAAATAGTTGGTTACAAATGTACAGCATATGCCATGCTTACATACAGTATGTGTGTTCGATTATCCGGTTCCCTCGCCTATCCGGATATTTTTGTTGAAAACGGATGTGTGCGGTTATGCGAGGTCTGACTGTAGTAGTATTAGCAGTAGTAGTAGTATTAGCAGTAGTAGTAGTAATAGTAGTAGTAGTAATAGTAATAGTAGTAATAGTAATAGTAGTAGTAGTAGTAGTAGTAGTAGTAGTAGTAGTAGTAGTAGTAGTAGTAGTAGTAGTAGTAGTAGTAGTAGTAGTAGTAGTAGTAGTAGTAGTAGTAGTAGTAGTAGTAGTAGTGGTAGTGGTAGTGGTAGTGGTAGTGGTAGTGGTAGTGGTAGTGGTAGTGGTAGTGGTAGTGGTAGTGGTAGTGGTAGTGGTAGTGGTAGTGGTAGTGGTAGTGGTAGTGGTAGTGGTAGTGGTAGTGGTAGTGGTAGTGGTAGTGGTAGTGGTAGTGGTAGTGGTAGTGGTAGTGGTAGTGGTAGTGGTAGTGGTAGTGGTAGTGGTAGTGGTAGTGGTAGTGGTAGTGGTAGTGGTAGTGGTAGTGGTAGTGGTAGTGGTAGTGGTAGTGGTAGTGGTAGTGGTGGCAGCGGCAGCGGCAGCGGCAGCGGCAGCGGCAGCGGCAGCGGCAGCAGCAGCAGCAGCAGTAGTAGTCACTCTTTTCCATCACTTGTGTGCTTACCATGGTATTTTTTCCCCCGTAAAAGTGGTTTGGTCAGTAGTAGAAGTAGTAGTAGCAGCAGCAGCAGCAGCAGCAGCAGCAGCAGCAGCAGCAGCAGCAGCAGCAGCAGCAGCAGCAGCAGCAGCAGCAGCAGCAGCAGCAGCAGCAGCAGCAGCAGCAGTAGTAGTAGTAGTAGTAGTAGTAGTAGTAGTAGTAGTAGTAGTAGTAGTAGTAGTAGTAGTAGTAGTAGTAGTAGTAGTAGTAGTAGTTCTTTTGCCTATTAAAGAGAGTGACACCATGCTTGTGTATGTACTATGTGCACGGCGTCTCTTTGTGCGTTTATCAGCCGATCCCTGCATACTGTAAGACGTGCAATTGTCGGTTTAGCGAGTAAAAGCACTAGAGTATGCACTGCATGTGAAGGGGATGCTGATGACACTGCATGTGAAGGGGATGCTGATGACACTGCATGTGAAGGGGATGCTGATCGCCTGATTCTACATCACACCGGAAACTTGGCAGGTCCCTGGCACCGAAATTTAAGTGCACCTAAAATGACATGTTATACGGTAGTGGCCATGGCAGAGCAAAAGCAGCAAAAGCAGCTCTACACACACATCCTCGTGCCTTTGCCCAAACATGGCCGAAATCACCTGGACACGAAACTTCTACTCATCTTCACCCGTGTTTGCCTGCTGTGTGTGTGTGTGCAGTGAGGGAGACATGTGGCCTGTACAAGAGGTATTGCAAATCCGGAGAGATCTGCCAATATGATGACCAGGGGCAGCCTCAGTGCTTTGGTAAGTCCTGGGTCTCTCTCTCTCTATCTCTGCCTCTCTATCCCTCTCTATCTCTGTCTCTCTATCTCTGTCTCTCTCTCTATCTCTGTCGATCTCTCGGAGCGACGAAGAACGGCCAGGCTAGACTTTTGTTACCAAGCACAGCATACCAATGTACAACTGCACATAGACTGTAATACATGAATATAAGAAAGGTCTATGCTAGGAAGCTGCCCACCCCCAGTTCTTCAGCGACCGACAGTGCTGTCCTAAGAATTTCTGACTCTTGCCCGAAAGGAAACTAGTGTCTGAGGTCGTCAAGAGAGAGATTGATTATCATTACTACAGTCCCTAACTTGTTGGTGTCTCCTACACCTAGTTGTAGATATCGTGAAAACAACAACACGTCCTGCATTGTGTGACCCGTGCAATTACTCCTTGCCACATTTGAGGGCAGAAAAGTACAAGAAAAGGAAATTAGAAAGTCAGCCAGGTTTTGCAAAATTAGGACAGGTATGCCATGGCAAAATGTATGGAGAAGCAGATCCCAAACCCAGATTTTTGAGATTTAAAGTGGGGTTTTGATCCCCAATTCGGCCCAAATCGGACTTTCAAAGGCCAGCAGGACTGTTTCTGATGAATGTACTGTACAGGTGGCAGCCAGCATAGAAGCTTGCATGTTTGATTTGTTTGAATTTGTCATTTTCTCTGTCGCTCCACCACTATAACTACTACTACTGCTACTACTGCTACTGCTGCTGCTGCTGCTGCTGCTGCTGCTGCTGCTGCTGCTGCTGCTGCTGCTGGTACTACTGCTACTACTACTACTACTACTGCTACTACTGCTACTACTGCTGCTGCTGCTGGTGCTGCTGCTGCTGGTGGTGGTGCTGCTGCTTCTGCTGCTGCTGCTGCTACTGCTGGTGCTGCTGCTGGTACTACTGCTACTACTGTGCGTGTGGATTGCAGCAACCGAGACTCCCGCTCTCCACCACGTGCACCTGAGCGGCGGCAAGAAATACAATGCCCAGACCTGGTTCAAACTGCAGAACAATCTGCTGGCGTTCGTTCCGAAGGAGAAGGCGGAGTCCCTGTGTTCCCGCCCGTCCAAGCTATTCGCCTACGCCGGCGTGTTCAACATGTTTACCTACGAGAGTTCCCCGGTTATCCGCACTGCCGTAGACAAGATACTCCTCTCGCCCGGCCTCAGCCAGCTCTCGATTTATGTCCACGGCCGAAATTCCATCGGGCAGGTAGCCAACCACTACCGCACGTTCACCCTCGACAGGACAAGCGGCAGCTGGACCAACGTCATCAGTGCGCACGCCACCGACGGTCTCGCTGTATGCACAGGTATGTTTCATGCTAATAGCGTGCAGACAACAGGTGTACTGAACTGTCGAGTACTGTACACTGTAGTGTCTTCTACGTACAGTTGGGTGGTGAACTGGCCCTGGGAGAAATGTATGCTGAGGTTCTTGCTGTATGCCCAGGTACATTCCATGCTAGCACAATGTCGTCTGTATCAGCTTACGATTTTCTTGGGTTGTGGAAAAAATAATTGAAGAGTAAACCTCATGCATGACTGTACTTCCATAACGCTATTCAGATGGAAGACTGCCTCAGAGATGCCGCTTATAGATGAACAGACCCGAATACCTTCCCCATACATACTGTGTTCACGGACCACCGTTATGGGTACGTCCGTCAATCACTGTTTTTTCTTGCACGTGCATGTATTTCTAGAGCGTATTCTCCAAACGTAGTGTAGCGGGCCGCAGTCTCTCGGAGGCAAGAACGCACAAGGGTTTCAGTGAACACACTGTAATTGGCAATTGAAATGTACTGGCAACGAAATTAACTGACTGGCAACTAAATTAACTAACTGGCTACTAAATTAACTAACTGGCTATAAAAGAATCGTAAGCAGCAGCTTCGATACAAAGGCAGACTCCGTACGCTAATGCACGGGGATACGCTAACGTATGGGGATACAGTACGGGGATATGCTATACTCTAAACACTAAACGCTATACGCTTTGACGTCACCAGCGTGCCAACGCTACACCTCCGCTCTCAAATACAATCACGTCCTCGTGATTCGAATACTACATGTAGGTGATAGCTGGACGTCAACAACTGGCTGCTATTTAGAAAAAAAACTGGCGGCATGCATGGTCGCGTCGGAATAAACTCGACGATAAGAGATAGGCAGAATGGATGGATGATTTGAATAATATAATACAGGTATGGAGTCGTGAACATTATAGTAGATCGCGAATTACTGGGAAAGCGTCAACCGGAGTATGGCAAATAATATCGGAAATGATAACGTTTGGAATAGACAGAAGAATGAACTGATAAACAAATCATAAAGTAGAAGCACACCAGGTTCACACGATCTCACGGGGTCAAAAGGGGAAAGAACTGTCCTCCAAATAGGACCTGAAAACCCACAGCACTCTTGCTGCACAACGCTGGCACAACCCGCCAGGAACATCGCAGTTCAAAAACCGAACTGAATACACTATAACTATAAGGGGCGTTGTCACACACATTGTCCCACGTTAGCTGGGTAAGCCGTGGCTCACCATGATCAGACTCCTACCAAACTAAACTTGATTCACACACTCGCATAAAGGAAGACTGAAGAGAACAGGGAGACTGAAGGAAGACAGAAAAGAAAATGCCATACCTGGAATCAGCGTTAGTAACCATGGCGGCGGCTGGAGCTACGGCGGAGGGCGAGCCAGGTTTTATCTTCATCTTGATTGAGCCGGTCACTCAGAGCGGCTAGCTCGGCGTCACACAGATCACCCCTCGTCTTGAATCGTGGTCTTCACATTGTCGATAGCATGGCTTAGCACGACGTAAAGAGTGATGGTCTAGCCAGGAAGAGTGTTGACGAAAATCTGCATCCCACCACGGAGACGAAGTACCAAGTGAATAGTGGACCCCTGCTGAACGTTGTAGTCACTCAGGGTTCGGCCGTCTGCCAAATGCGTGCCGGCGAAAATCAAACGCTGCTGGTCTTGGGGAATACTCTCCTTGTCTTGGTCAGCAGCCTGCATGTCGTCGTCCCCATCAGCTTCGCCATCACCACCGGTAGTATACATGTAGGTAGCGGGTCGCTTGGAATCGCCATCGGAGTCTCCAGTGAGTGCCGTGCGGAGAGAAGGGTGATCCACGCTAGCACCCTGACTGTGCTGCAGGCTAATAAGCAGGGCCAAGCCCAGGAAGGCAAGAAACATGATTCTCATCTTGATTCGTCGCACGGAGCTGCAGCAGGTTGAGCCATGGGGTCTGAGGAGCGTGTAAAGTAACAAAGTTATGTATAGAACGAAACAAAATGAATTTACCGCTGCCACCAATTTGTAGCGGGCCGCAGTCTCTCGGAGGCAAGAACGCACAAGGGTCTCAGTGAACACACTGTAATTGGCAATTGAAATGTACTGGCAACGAATTTAACTGACTGGCAACTAAATTAACTAACTGGCTATAAAAGAATCGTGAGCAGCAGCTTCGATACAAAGGCAGACTCGGTACGCTAATGTACGGGGATACGCTAACGTATGGGGATACAGTATGGGGATATGCTATACTCTAAACACTAAACGCTATACGCTTTGACGTCACCAGCGTGCCAACGCTACAGTAGCACTTCTCAGGGTTCCCTGTAAGAAGGCGATGACGCCTGTGGGGAATTCCCTATTGAAATAAGAATAAAAAAAATTAAATAAATAAACAGCACCGCACACTGTAGGTATCCAAGAAAAAATCGAAAAAAGCGAAGAAATCTGCTTTTGATGATGCTTGCGCTTTCTCGTGTTTTGCTT